TTTGAAAAATAGCGAAAAAGCAAAAACACATTAGCACAACACAGCACAAGATAGATGCCACACACTTGAGTACATCGCTTCTATTGCTGCTGCGGGAGCAGCAGCTCTAAATGCCGGCACAATTATTAGTATTGTTGTTGTTGTGTTGTTGTTGTTGTTGTTGTTTTTTTTTTTTTTTTATCTTAAAACTAAAAACGTGCAAAAGTTGTATGAAAACATAAAAACACAAAGTAAAAAATGGGAAAACAAAATAAAATCATTTAGCATTAGTTTTGATTTGCTTGTCTCTCAGCGAACAGTGTTCAGTTTGCTCTCTTGTTCGCCTATAAACCAATACTTTATCGAGTGGCAGTAATTTGATGGCAAACGCTAAGAAACATTTCTGAAAGGAGTAAAGGTGATGATGGGACGGGCGGGCGAGACAGTGAGAAAGACAGATTGATTACTAAAGAGTAATCTTGGTAAGGTGAAGTGTGAGATCTTCTTCGATTCAAACAAAACAAACAAGTTGGACTTGGTATGATTAATTTTATGTCGTTTAAGTTTTTTTATTTTTTTGTTTTAACTTTGCTATACAAACACGAAACAAACAAGAACGAAGAATAAATAAGAACAAGGCACACAACAAATTCTTAGTCTCTCTTTCTCGTCCTCTCTCTATTTCTGTCTCTCTCTATCTCGGCCGCTTTACCACCGTAGGCATAGTGCTTAGTAGGTTGTATTATTCGTTTCTCATTTCTTGTTTGATATCAAAAAGCCAACACCAGCTATTCCAACAACAAAAGCGTACTTACAAATAAAATATACGGTTGATATTTTTCTGATGTGTGCCTACGTGATTCAGTGTTAATTTTCATATTATGCAATAATAATAATAATAATAATAATAATAATAATAATAAGAATGTGTGCGTGTGTTTTGTATGCGACCACTTGTGTATGTTCCAGTAGAGTGTTTTGTTAATAAAATGGAACAATAATAATAATGATTTCTTTTTTTTTATATTGTTTTTGTTTTCCTTTCAGTTCGCCTTGTACTGTTTTGTTATTGTCGTCGGTTTTAAATAACAGTATTTGGGTTTACTGCGTACTTTTGTACCTGGAACTGTTGTTATGAAATCAATTTATTAGAATTGTTGTGTTTTTACGTAACACGGACACAAGCACAAGTACACAGAAACACACACACACACACACACACACACATACGCACGCAAACAACACAAAGTAGTCGCCTTTTATTGTGATTCTCTTATATACAACTAACTACATATATATACTTGTTGGCATGTGTATGCACATATTGTTATATTCCATTTAAAATGTAAAATATTTTTTTTTTGCTTATCAATGCAAAAAATATTTAATTGATTATCAAAAGATTTATTACAAAATAAGAAGCGATGAAAATATTTGAGAAAACTACCTCATCTACCTGTCAATAATTTTATGAAAGAAAGACATTCATTGATCACTAAGGATGAGGCAAATGGAATTCCAAGTATATATAAGGATATTATCTAATGGACTAATCTAATCAACAACTCAGACGGAACAAAACCATTAACTCGGCTAATCATGTGTTAATCGAATATAAATTTGCTGTCTTACGTGCTTTAATGATCGAGATCATTAAAAAATCCTACTTACATTACATCCGTTAATAATTCAATATCTCTTTGGAACTTTAGCGAAAATTGTAATTTATTTTACAGCTACGTATGCATGTTATTTATATCTTATCTACAATTTCTTGCTCCCAACGACAAATGACTTTATCAACTTTATCAACGTATTTTGGTGAAGAGCTGCTCCTTTAACTTACAGGAGGTAGATAATCAAACTCAAAGTCATATTTTATGACCTCTTCTAATCTTATAATGTTTCATTTCCAATCAATGTCTCTTATGGTTTGGTACGTGTTAAAGTTTGTGGATACAATGCGCACTTCAACGCTTAGCTTCCTATCTTTGTTCTTAAAATGTTTATATTAGATTAGTGCGAATATATGAAACAACCAGAAGAACTTGATGTTAGTCTGCCTTTTATTATATCGATCGATTTCGAATCACATTCCAATTCCGATTTAAGCGTATTTGTCCGTCTGCCGGCAAAGTGTTCTTATATTCAACCTATAGGCCGCAATTTTTGAGATATTTTAATGAAACTTGGTATACTGACGTGTTTTTTTGACTCAAGGACGAACACTATTCAAAATGTTTTTTTTTTTTTTTTTCGTTTAGCAAATTTCCACATGAATAACTGAATGAAGCGAACTGGTGTAGGGCATTTAACAGCGGGCCTTGTCTCATTGCATTGTTTTTGCCTGTCTTAATGTGGTTCAATTCCTATAAAATAATAAGAATTTTTGAGAATTGAGTTTTTGTTACAAAAACACATAAATAGTTTACAATATTCAATCGAAATGACCGACGTGCTGCACAATGTCATTACAGCGCATGCAATTTTAGTTTTCTCTTAATTTACCTCAAGAATAAAACTCTGGATAATTGTTAGAATTTCAATTTTTCCATTTGTGCCATAAATGGACTAACTTATCTAACTTGTCCAGAACAATAGAAAAAAATAATCAAAAATCAAATCATTTCGTTCTTTCTAGTGCGGCAACATACGTAGACACTTTAGAGTGTGTTTTTCTCGAAACTCAAGCGACATAACTCCAACAATTTCCTTTCTTTTCACGCGCCATTCATTCAATCATTTCCAATGCACAACAGACAATCAGGACAAGCGCTTGATTGTGCTGTAGTGATGGATGTGCCCAAACGTAGTGGTACTCGCACTACGTACTACGATTGAGTAAGAAAATTGTTGTTTGGATATCTTGCAGTTTTTCTGATAAACTGTACTACTACGGTACGAAATGTTGAATCATGGGACAGATAAGACATATTTGAATCCTCTGGACTTATCTTACTTCCTTGCCCTATATATGATGAAAATGTCCATATACGAAATTGACTACTTTGGATCTGGTTGATTTTGTGCAGGCTTTTGATTTCTGTGAACTGATGAACTGATTTCCTCCAGCATTGACAATGCAATGCAAAGACGCAAAAAAACACAAAAGAGAAAAAGCAATATTTGCAAAATAAGTATATCTCTTAACCCCTGTACTTCGTATAATAGGCCGTAAGAATTAGTCAGCCATAAATGTGTTTTAAGATCCTACTAAAAGTTCGGGCCAGTTTTGGGATCTATTTCTGCTGTAGGTCTCAACTTATCGAACTTGCAGTACAGCTTTCCTTCCCATCAAGACCAAGTTGGAGAGGAATTATACTCATTTTCATTTCAACCCTCCTGCGACCAAGTCAAAGTATTCTTACTTATACGGGGGGCGCTTAAGTAAATTTATTCTTATGTTTGCTGTCGCTTTACTTAAGCTTCCAGCCGTTTTACAATTTCGAAAATCTCACCAAAAGTTAGGGGACGTTATTAGACTCGTTCAGCTATTAATTTAGTTGTACATAGTGTTTGTTTGATTTTTGATGAGTAAAAAAGACTCTTAAAAGTATAATGTTCCTTGCTTACGCCCCAAAGAAATTTAGATAAAGTATTTTTGCAATGCGTACGAATCAAATAGAAGGGTTAGAAAGTGTGTTAACCCATTCGTAGGCATTCTTATAAATAAATGGTTTTCAATGATTTTGACCCAATAACCAAGATAATGAACTGATTGTACTTTAAATGTATATTGAATTTTGTGAAATAATTGTAAGCCTATTACGACACAAGAAATAACCGTTTTGAGAAGGTAACTGAATCAGACTAATGAAAACACGAAATCCCTAAGACGTACATCATCTCGAGTACGAATATTGACTTGATAAGATTTGTTATCATGATGAAAATATTTTGGGTCTAGCCTGCCTCTGTAGCATTAAGCTATGATTACAATTCACGCAATATGAACGACATTACTCAGAAATTAAGGGTTTGATGAAAATTTTACAATTCATAAGTATTTTGCCATAAGGAGAAATCTAATCTAATGGACTAATCTTTATCGATGTATTATTATCTATGTTAAAGTCAGTTTTACTCTTTCTTCGCCAAAAAGGTTAAAAATTTTAGTTTCAAATATCAGCAAAGTTTAGAAAATAAGCGATTAGTTCGATTATTTGGAATGGGGAATTAATTAGGCGCCTTACGAAACTTATTTCTTGTTATTACGAAATCTTTGAATCCTGCTTCTGACGACGAAAAAGTTGACATACTCTGCGGACGTATTCAATACAATACATTATATAAGATTAAGATTTCAATATGCCCGCAAGAGAAGAGAAAATAGAAACATTAGATAATAATAGCATGTGCTTAAGAGAGTGAGTGTTCAGCCAATTAAAATTAAAAAAAAGAACAAAAATTTGCAAAAAAAAATTCGTTCTTCATGCTCTTATACGAACAGCTAGATAGAAAACCTTAACAAAGAGAGATATGCAGAAGAGAAATGAGAGATTTGTGATATGTTTTGTGCAGTATGTCGAAATGGCATGCAAAAAAAAAAAAAATAAATAAAGAGTCTATGGCTGTTTTAGTGCAGCATGTTACAAAGCAAAAGTTTGCTGTGTCAGTGTGGAAACACTCACCAAAGATTTCAGTAAGAAGTGTTTTATTATTGAGTTTTAACATTACGTAAAAGTTTCTATTCAATCAGGCAATGCTTTCTAACATTTCCTTTTTTCTTTTTTTTTTTTCTCTATTTCTCACAGAAAATCACTCATCACTAAATAGCCAGAAAGAAAGTTGAAGCCAACGTTGGATGTTGTCAAAGCTTGCAATTGTAAGATTCATTGAAAAGAAAAAGCAGCGAAAAAATTGCAAATTCTAAAGTGAGAACAGATAAATAAATAGAAAATATTTTTATTATTAACAAAAGCAAAACAAAGCAAAACAAAGCAAAAAAAAAAAGGAAAAAAATGTTGCAAAAGAATTGAATTTGTTTTTTGTTTTTTTTTTTTTTAAATGCCTTGAAAATGTTTTAAAAAATATATTCCAAAAATTTTCGTTAAATTAGAAATTATTAGCAAAGAAAAGAAATTTTTTTCTTGTGCACTGAAAGTAGAATAATGTCAAAGAGTGCCACCGAGCAATTTCAAATTAAAAAGAAACGAAAACACCACAAACAACTGCTGAATTGTAAACTTAGTTGTAAACGTAGTGAAACAACTGCTCCCCACTTTGCTCCCTTAGCCAATACGTTAATCAAAGAGAATTTGAAAAGATTACCACAAGAAAACCTACGCTTTAATCTAAAGCCAGCGAGTTGCACTTTGCCTGTCGTTAATCAAATCAGAAATATCAAAAATTGTTTACGCGATCAGACACAAGTGTTGCTTTGCAAATCAAGGGACAGCATCATGCCACTGTCGCAGGGATTTTATGTTAAAGGTGCCATAGCCAGTAAACGTGGGCTGAAATCGATGCGATTAAATAGCCCGAACACAGCAACAACTATGGCCGCTATATCATCGATGCCAACGGTTGCTAAGAAGGCTCGCAGAGCAAGCGAGAATATGGGTGACCGTTGTGGGCAGAGCGCCGCATCGCAATTGACAAATCAATTCTTGCAAGGACAAACCACAAATAATTTACAGCTTTCTTACCTGTTGGGCGAATCCTTGGCGCGTCATGGTCGTTTGCAAGAGGCATTTAATTTGTATGCGTTAATTGCGAGCGAACAGCCGGAGGGTTTTATACCCTTGGAAAAATTGCATGTATTGGCTACAGCACTTATCGAGTATGTGCGTGCATTGTGTTTAAATTCCAGAAAAGCTGAGCACTCCGAAATTGAATTAATGGATCCTATAACAGCGACCGTTACGCTTACAAAGACAACAAATGATCATAAGTTAGGCAATAACGGTTCAAAAAGCAATAAGTCTTTAAATCCTGGTCTGCTAACGCAAGGATGGCAGATTATTGCCAGCAATCTAACGACCCACATGCCTGCATTTGGCGGTACTGAAGAGGAAGATACCGCTTATAATTTGCATTCCCCGTTAAGAGATCTCTCACGCGTTTCCAGTCCCTTTCTCAGTGAGGAATATGATCCGCTATTGTGCCCTTTGTGTCGAGACATTTTACGCTCACCCGTCACCACCAATTGTGGTCATACATTTTGTCGTCAATGCTGTGAAACTATTACCATGTGTAACATATGCCACATTAAATTTTCCAAATATCAGCGAGATGATTGCGGAAATGAAACAACGATATTGAAACATTGCACTACCGCTACAGCTATGACAACGGCCAGCACCATGACCACTAGTACCAATAATAATGGCGGTCATGTATCTTATGTTTATGCTCCTGGCTTTTTGGGTGCCACATCTTTAACAAATCCTTCATTTCCAGTTGCCGGTAGTCCAGCCAACACCACTCAATCACGCCTACGCTTAAGTGCGCCTGCATCGCCTACAACGGTTACCACCACGACAGTAGCCTCAACAACAGATACGCCTACCACAACAATGGCTTCAACGGCCAGAGCAAATGGTATGGTCAGTACCGCAACCACTTCTAATGAAAGCATGAAATTTATGCCTGATGTGCTTGTACGACGTTTAGTAGAGAAATGGTGGGGTTCAGATTTGCAGGCTAAAAAAATTAACGAAACCGCAGCCAGTTACATGCATTTGAATTTATTGGACGATGCTTTGAAATTTTGCAACGCCAGTCTCGAGAAATGTAAGTAAATCTAAAGTCATTTTTTATTAAAAAAAAAAAAAAATTTAAATGCCCGGCAATGTTAAGGATATTAAACCCGTTCTATAAGCACATCGAATTTTGCTAAATTTGAGTTTGATTTAATCGCAGCTTACTAAACCCAAATTAAACGTTAAGCGAGTTAAGCAACAAAACGTTTTTAATCCTCTACGCAAAGAATATCAAGTATCTCTGGTCTCGTCTATCCCCACGTATCTCCTGTTTAAAACACGAACTCAATTTCTCCTCCACTGCTACCGAGGTCTTCTCAGTTTTTCTGCTTTTGTTTTATGTCACAGCTTATCGTTTAAGTATTAATCGATGCGCATAATTTGCGCAACACTCTTTTCTCTCTCATAATTTATACTAAATCACGGCATCTTCCAGCTTAATTTGCAATTTCTTTTAATTGTTTCGATAAATAAACTGTTAAAGGCCTTGTGGAAAATTCGACTTGGTCGTGCATTCATCAATTGAATCAAGAAAAAAAATGTATAGCAATTTTTTTTCATCAAAAACAGTTAAATCAAGCACCTTTTGAGATCAAGTTTACACTACCAAACGAGTCCTGTAGCGAACGAACTCAAGTGATTAAAAGTGTCTCTGGCCTGCCATTGGCAGACTATGGACGATGACCTTGCTATTGATTGGTGACAGTCGAGAATCCCTCTCCATCTGGCGCCAATGCAGGCTTTATGGCCCCTTGTGCAGCGTCGCTTATTTTTGGCCACGATTTTTAGCGCACGGTGTTGCCTACTATCACGATTTCGTTGCGTTATTCTGTGCATTTAATTTTTGATATCATAAAAATATTGAGCTTCTTCTTATCTTACTTCAAAATGTATTTTCTGGTCAAAGATTAGCTTGAAATGTGACAGCCTTCCTCAGTTCTTTGAAGAATTTCACGAACAAAAACCAACCAACATTTTTCACACATGCCGTGGTACGGCTTCATGCGGTAAGTGTCGTCACAGTTACGTAGCTCTAAAGTCATCCGTTAAGGAAAGCGCTGGGAAATTCTTCGTTGGATTACTGATTTAAGACCAGCGGATGAAGCGGTTATATGCGAAAATGTTGCTAATGATTATGCGCAGTCCTTAGATACCTTCCGTCTCTCAAAGCATTTTCTAGCTATTTTTATGCAAAAATTTTCGTCGCCGAGCAAATAGAAAATCTTGTCAAATTGAAGACCGTTGTCGAACGATAATGACATGTCAGCAACGTGAAACTCAAGCCTTACGCATCGCAATGTTAATTTTATTAAGATGGCCTCAGTGACTTTGTTACGAAGCGAACTTGCCGTACTTGCTCAATTTGGCAATCTGCACAAGGAATACAAGATGTTGGGGAAGTGCGTGGCTTTCATGAATTGCTTCTCAAAATGTGATGGGCTTAGAGAGACAGCAAGGGAATCTATTAACCTTCTAGCATAGCGAGCATAGCGAGAGGGATCGTTTTGATAATTCACAGTTTCATAGGGTTTAAGAGCAAATTTCCGCTTATCGGGAAAAAAACTATGGCTTTTGTGTACATCGACTATGTTTTTAAGTCACAAGCAAATCTTCAATCACAACTGCAGAAATATTTATGAATGAATTTATGTTTTTTTTTTTTTGGATGACGTTCGACGTTTACGATAAGCAGGCCTATTGAAACGCTCAAATTCATTAAAATGCCAAATTATTCTCGTAAAAGAACAACACTAACAGCTACATATATAGTTTAAATGATGGCTATAAAATAATTCGCTTAGGCTTGTACATGCCTAACTTCTCTGATGCTAATATGAAAACTTAACTATGTCGAGAAGATAGAAAAATCTCAAGTTACTTCTTTTTTTTTTCTTCTCACTTCAACGTCTAATTGAATGTCTTGATTGATGAGGAAGCCTTTTGCCACTGATCAAATTTCTGTAATGACTTTGCTCTGCTATAGTAATTAATGGCATATGTTTCATAAGATGACCATATGCTTGTCTTTCCCTCTTCCCTCTATCAACTTTTTCTATAAAATTTATTGCATTTTTTTTTTATTTTTTTAATGAAGTTACAAGTTCCGTTACCCATTTGTAAGTACATACCCTGCATTTTTATCATACCATATAAGATGTTTGAATATGCTGACGTCATGACGATGACATCAAATAATAGGAAACACTGTGTACTTAATAATGTGTTGTTTCATGTTGTTAATGCAACAAGTTTGGGGAAAAAAGCGTACGCTAACTGAAAAGAAAAAAGAAAAAAAAACCAAATTTTTTATTTATGAAAATGTGTATGAACAGTTTTATTACTATGTAACATAGGAGGGCATGACATTCTCTGGCCTTGCTTGTGTGTACCGACATGTAAACAAACCAAGAGACAGAGAGTAAGAGACATAAAGGAATGTGTAAGCATATGTAAGCAACAATGGCTGTAGTATTCGGTTACGTCCCCAGGCTTTTTGGGGCTAACATGAAAGAATTTTAAATATGATGCGACAATAGTGTCACGTAGCAAGACGAAGTGACAGAGAGGAAAAGTATCGGGGGCTGAGCAATAACTTGAAAATACTGCATAACGTAAACACACCACAGTGAGCCTATATATGTTTATACTAAACAAAAAAAATCTTACCAGTTGCCGTTTAGCTAGAGCACACAACAACACAACCACAAACATATATCAATATATGCATACATATCATGTCCATACTGTTTATTATCATCTAAAGTTCCTTGAGTATTATGTGTTATGCTATAAATTTTTAAACACAATACATGTATATATATATATATATATATATATATATATGTTTTCGTCTTATTACTCATAAATTTCTTTAGCTAGTACGTATTTATATGGGTCAAGGATGTTGTGAGTATTGTCTTGCATGATTTTGTCTCTTGTTATACTTGCTGTCGAACGATGACGGTATAATAAAGTCGTTACTTCGCTTGTAACAATGAGAAAAACTCTTCAAATATTATAAATTTATAGCGAACGGTCATCATAAGGATAGCTAATGATTAACTACAAAACACCAGTTGTCGAAAATTGTGAGCACATTATATATGCATATATATATATATATGAAATTCGAGCCGTATTTAGGATTCGTTACCGATAGTATATAATTTTTTCATTCGATCTTTTTTGTCTTCTTCTGCTTACAAAGAACTATTACCACTTATTCGTTTGCTGTTTAAAAATTTAAACAAAAAAATCTAATTTTTACTTTTATACACATATTGATTTTCTGATTTCAACTTTTAGGCAAACGCTTATTTGAGTGAAAATAAAACGAAATTACATTAAAGTGAAGCAAACATTTTAGTCGTTAACAACAAATTGTCATGCGTGTCAAAATATTTGACAGCCTTTCAGTCATGCCTTCAGTTTTATGTGTATTTAAATATTCATAACGAAATTTTTATTTATTTGTACTTACAACACTCATGTGACAACATCACTTGTTTACATTTAACGTGTAGACACAACTGATGGGACTAATCATTAGCTAACAATTGAATGAAGCGAGAGAGTATCAGTTACAAATAAAATTGAAAAATTAAAGACAACATTAACACGAGATATATGCAAAAATACAAAAACAAAGAAAAAAAAAAAAAAATAATAATAATAATAATAATAATAATACTATTTAAAAATTAATTTAATATAATCGAATTAAATAAATATTTACATATTTGACTTAAAGAAGTGAGCGGCGGCCAGCCGTCAACGGTAAAATGGAATGCAAATGCTGTAACAAAATTTAATTTATTGCACAGTACAACGCAACGAGTAGATATGCATAAAAGAGCTGCATGGCGTATAAGTGACATTAAATTAAAAATTATATACATTATAGTGTGTAGAAAAGAAAGAAAAAGGAAAAATAAAAATATTCGTACGCATGATAAGTGCACTCCTATTCACCTTTCGCCACTTGTCCGTCTATTGGTTTATTTTTGCAGAATTCATAAAAATGGGTAGGGGGGCGGGGGAGGGCAGCGAGAAATCCTGATAGGAAAATGAGGTTTGAATTTAAAATTTCCAAAACATCATGTTTGACCTATGACAAGGTCTCTTCTCACAAATGCTTATCAGGAATAGGAAAAAAGCAAGGACAACGGCTTATCGATCTATTTCTCTTTTTTTCTCGTTATTGATCAGTTCAAAGTTTAACAAACTTATATTTTCAAGCCAAATCTCCAAAATGTCACTAAAAGCATAGCCATACATAATTGGCGTCCAAGCTTTCCCGCTTCTTAAGCCTCCTTGCTTTTTTATTTACTTATACTTACGTCAAAGGTAATCTTTAAATGGGCCAAATGTTTCTAAATGTAATGATTAAATTTTTGACTGGCATAGACCGATTCATTGTGTATTCTCGTTCAACTTGAATACCCTTACTGGTGTTGTGCTTCTACCTATATATCTATTAATTCTAACTATTAGGTGCAAAGGCCTGAGGGTAGGAGATCTACTACTATTTCATATGTGTAATAAATTTTACCCTTACGTTATAATATATAATATAATGTTTGCGTTATCATAAAATATGTGCGAAGATTTAGCGCAAATAGTAGATATTCTACACCTATGTCCCTGATCATTTAAAAAGTTCACCTAGTTACCACAGCAACTCCAGATTCAAAATGAATTCATTGTGTTATACAATTGTCAGTGTCAAGAGTTAGCATTTAAGCTGAGTATAGTTTCCGTCTCGTTACCATGTGCACTAAATTCAACAGTTTATGATTATTTCTCATAAGAAATTTTATTATAAATTCCTCGTGAAGCACGAGAGCAGAATAGAAATTTTCCCTCTCTTAACGTTTTAAGCTAAAATTGTTGTCGATTTCGATGACAAATACGTTCTTTAGGAATTCCTAGTTTAGTTTATTTCAACGACAACAACCGGGAACGAATCAGCAAAAAATTTAATTGGATTTCATTGGTGACTAAACCGTAAGGCGTATCGCATGATATCTGAAATATATCTGTTGATGTTGTAAATCGAAAGGCAAAGTCCCTCCGTTAATCGCTATGAAATAAGAAAGTATGCGTTGCATAAATTGTCTGCCACACATTTTTATGCTCCATTTCTGCAAAAATGAAAAAATAAAAACAAAAAAAAATAAATAAATAAATAAATACAATAACGCACCACCGTAAGATGCAGCTGTGCGTTATAGTTTTCACAAAGATTTTGTGCCAGACATTTGCCTCTTATTGTCTGTCTCACTGTTGTCTACATCGAGGCAAAAAATGAAAAAAAAAATGCTTTGTTGAGTGGCTTGATTGATTACGTAAGTCATTTATATCTTTAGCATAAGCATTTAAACGAATTTTAAATGAAATCATATTTCCGCGATTTTGTGTAGTTTTACATGAAAAAAAAAAAAAAAAAAAAAATGCAAATTTAAGATATTATTAATTATATTATTATTAAATCTTGTTAAAACGATTATTTTTATAAAAATGAAAGAGAA